GGGGCGTGAGTTACAAATATGTTCCAGTTTTGCATGTGTCTGTTTTATTTACTTTTTTTTTTGGTTCGTGCTATTTCTTCCATTATACCATTCTCCATCGGAAACAGCCGTAGCCGCACACCAACAACGAATACATGTAATATATTATTTGTCAGACCACTTGAGGAATTACTTTGTTATTATTTGTCTTTTTTTAATAGCATTTAGCTCTTTGTTTAAAAAAAAAAACTGCATTAGTATTCAGATCATTGTTACCAAAGAAAGTGATGGGATTAACTCAACAGCAGAGAAATCGAGCCATCGATACGCTTGGCGCATTTCTGCTGTTGCCAGGACATTCAACGCCAAGAGAATTAAGCTATTTCTTTTATTAAAACTTAAACACGGATAGACGAAAATGAATTCGCTATCGAATAATAGTTATTAAATGAGAACAAGAAGGATTTCAAAATTGAAGGACTGATATTATAAACTAAAAAAGCGAATAATATGTTAAGAAAAAAGAGAGAGTGTGAGCATGCATATTACAAAGAGAGGTTAGAATATATAGTCATAAATGACTTGGCAATGTTTAAAAGCTATACTTGAAGAAAATCCAATACGTACGCATTTCATTCCTGTCTCAACAATATCATATACTTTACGAAAGTAATATAATAATGTAAAGTTGGTGTACAACAGTAGTTAAGATATCACAATGTTTATAAAGCCACAGCAAAATCCCCATAGGAACAATAAAATGTCATCTTGTCTTGTCTTAATTCACATTCTGTAAGGTTCTCTCATCACCTGTCATTATATTATCAACTTAAATATCATTAATGTTGCATTCAAACCTTACGTCCAGTTTTATTTCTCTTTTACATGTATTTTACTTACGTTTCGTGTCTGTTGGAGTATTTAACGATTTCATAATAATTGCGAATATTTTAATGAGAAGCGTTTGTTTTGTTTTCTTCTGTTTTTCAGAGAGTTGAGGATAAGGAAGGAACAATATCGCTCTATTGCTTCTGTCTTTCAAACCCTCTGTCCTTGTTTCTGAATTTTGAGTCTAAGAGTTTGAAACCGATCTGATATTTCTTTTCTCCTGTATGTATGATTGCTTTTACTAATTTGTTTACAATAGAGTCAAAGGTGTTGAAGACGACCACGCGTTGTGGAAATGAAAAGTGGTTGTCTTAGAAAAGTGAATGTCTTGGACAGTGTACAATCGTATAAACAGCCAAACGGGGTTGTGGGAAGCAGTTGCGTGTACAACAGATTGTCTTATATATAATATACATGGATATATTTTTTTTTATTTGTCCCTTTTCTAGAACCTTTCTATATGCCGGAGGTGGGAGGCCTCCATAGAGTCCGAAGCTTTAAGACAACATCCAAAGGTCTCATCAACCATGGAGACTCCTTCAAAAAGTCCACAAACAGGTTTTGTATTGAAAGCATTTGACAGGAACATGTTGTTATTCTAGTGTTCTGTAATCCCATTTTGTGTTTCGTCTGTCTCATTTGTATGATCGGTAAGGTTTAGTTATGTCTTATTATTGTTCTCCCCCCTCTCTCTTTCTCTCTTTCTCTCTCTGCCCCCTCTTTCTCTCCCTCTCTCTCTC